TTGAATGACTGACTGACTGAATGAATGCACGAATGAATGCATGAATGCAGGTGTTATTCAACGAACACACGGCGCAAAGCATCGAGATGACTGAAAAAGGGCACGCCAATGGACGCTTCATCCAAATGAGCTTCAATGGATCTTTCGTTGTCCACTTCCGGGTGGGGTGATTGGCAGAACACCCAGACGTCCAGACACCTTCAATGGCAGACCCCTTCAGTCACGCCGCCGTCCGATCCGTCACTGAACCGATCCTCCAAGTGGAAACCAACCCGTTGAGACATAGGTGACCGGCTGAGACATGGTTTCTCCAGTGGATGAGATGAATCAAGACCCTTCCCCCACAAGTAGTATTGATTGACCAACTCCTATTCCCTTCAGAATTAATCTCCCAACATCCTTAGTAATCCTTAGTAATATCATGTAACATCCAAACTCTTGTCCTTCAGAAATAGAAACTAATATCCCAACTCTTGCATCCTTACAATCTGTGACATTGTGACAAAACAATCCGCCCGCTAAGGCGCGGCATCGTTCGCCGAACTCTTGGACCGGGTGGTTCACGTCCCGGCCGTGGATGTCCCCCCCAAAAGCAAAGGATGTATAAGAAGAAACCTCTGTGAAGTGGAAGGAGTGTACTGAAGGAGTGTATACTCTCTTTTGAGAAGTAAACCACATCAAAGACACGTAAATGAACAGGTACAAAAGCGCCCCCTGTTCGCAGTTTGAGATAAGTAACACGATGTGCAAAGAGTGAAGTGAAAGAGGAGTCATGTCATTGTCAATGGTGGGTTTCAACCCTGGATGCTCGCTGGGAAAAAAACAAAAACGATCTATGGAAAAGTTGATCCATGTTGATCCCAACCGCCCAAACCCTCGAGTTTCAGCTTCAGGATTTGGTGTGAATGGAGCCACCCAATGGATTGAATATGTTTGGGCTTCATGCCCTTCGGCTGTGCGTCCAACAACTCAGAGCTGTGCGTCCCGTCGTCGTTGTGCGACCGTCGACGGATTGGCTCGCGGGAGCTGCGCGTGTGAAGCACCACGGGGCCTTTGCCCCCTTTGCCACCGTCCTTGCCATCCTTTCCTCCATCTTTGCCTTTTCCTGGCCCAAAAGAATCCAAAAGAAACAAGTGACCGGGCCCGTCCAAGTGGAGCAACATTGCAACTTCAACACCTCCGGAATTCTGTTGCAGGGTGCTTGCACACAAATAGGAACTCAGGACAATCCTTTGACCATGACTAAAGCATGAATCTATGCCACATGAGAGATACTGTAGATAGAGATAGATAGAGAGATTGAAGACAACAACAATACTTACTTTAAAGAGAACTGAACTGCACGTGTGTCTCTCCCCACATCTCATCCCTACATGATGTGTCTCATCTGTTCCAGACAACTTCCTTGTCAGTACTGGCAAGCTGACCTCTCTTCTCTGCCTTGTCTTTTTTCAACAAAAGCTCATGCCAGTGTCTGTTCATGTGTCATAGCTCAAAAAGCTCAACGTCTCACGTAAAGGGCTTGAAAAGGGCTTGATTGGTTCATCCAGCCCCACAGGGGTGCAGGGTGCAGGTTGGCCTCCAAAACTGGCCACTGTCAGGGACACTCATATCTGAACACGTGTTACTACTAGCTTCTTGTTACTACTAGTAAGGCACCTGTTACTACTAGCGTGGCACTTGTTACTACTAGCTTCTTGTCACTACTAGCCACAAGTCGGGGACCTTGAACCCACCAAGTCGGCCACTTCGTTGGTCTCACAGTTCACTGACCCACCGGACCGGGTCTCGTTCCCGCGAAACCGGTCCGTCTGCCTCCAAAGCCCTGAGGCCGGGTCGAAACCGGTGCTTGCACAAGGCGAAAAACCTTCGAATGATCCAATTCAATGTTTTGTTCAAAGGACTGCCTGAAAGGATGAAGATGCATCATGATGCATCCTGTTTTCAGGAAGAGAAGACCGTGAAGACCGAACCAAGCTCTGAGGAGCATCGACCGGTCGATTGTTCGACCTGCAGACGAAGCCTGTCATCCTCAAGCCCTTTGCTCTTATGGCAACAAGAAGCTTTCTTTGGAGGATCCAACTTGGGATCGGCTCCACTTCCTTGATCTGCTCCCAAAAGGCCTTGTGAACCCTGTCACTATGGCTTTCGGCTTTCCATTCACGGACCATGGGAACGCTTGCACCAACAACAGGTCCCTCCGAGCTGGGTGCGGCAATCGTTACAACCTGCTAGGAGGTCCAGCTAGTTAAACCAGGAGCTCCTTCGGCAGTTTTCAATGATGAGATTCTATGGCTCAAGAACTAGCATAACTGGCAGTAAGACTAAGCCACCGTCAGCAAATATCAGCAAACACAATACGCCTGCACTCCAAACTCTGTCGAATTTCTTCCCCAGCTGCACCAAACATCACCAAACTATCACTTTGTTTGGAATCTTCCCTCCCTGATGCAGATTGCACTGAGTCCCTGGCCTTCCCCTTCCCCTGCGCTGGTCGTCGCTGGTCGTTTGGGAGCTGCATGAGGCTGTTTTCAGCATCCTTTCGTCAGTTGAACATGCAGAAAACACTCCGGCGCCGCATGAGCTGACTACAAATCTCTGCGTCGTGTGGAGTTCTTCAAACCTTCCTTTCGAACCGACCCCCGAGGGGGGTGAAGCACCATCGACTCTCTCGTGCTTCGTTGGAGACCCGGTTGGTCCGGTGGTCCGTCGCTTCTTCTTGTCGACCCGGGGTCTCGGTCGAGCTCGGCTCGGGGCTGAGTAGAACTCTCTCTCTCGCGCGCGCGGGACTACCCGGTGGATGCCTTCTCACCCTTGGCCACAAAGGTCCCGTCTTCCATCTCCCTGAGCTTCACCTTCAGGAGCCTCAGAGCGTCACACGCGTCACCGCGAAGGCCCTCCGTCGGTGGACCGGAGCTCGCGGACTTGGGGGAGAGCTCCTGCGGCCGTCCGAACGCGCGGGGAGAGCACCGGTGCTGCGTGCTTTGAGGTGCCGCACCCAGGCGGATTCCGCGCGGACTCGAGGGTCTGGGCAGATCGAGACTGGACCGAGCTGGGATGGATTTCATCACGTGGGACTTGGGACAGGCGGACAGACTGGACCTAATAGCTTCTTGCTCCTAGTAGTAAGAGTAGTAAGGCCAGGAGCCCCTAGTAGCGTCCTTGCTCCTAGTAGCGATGCCCTTTGTTACTAATTAGTAGCTTCTCGTTCCTAGTACACAAAAAATGTTCTTAAAGAAAGAGGAGAGCTTTCGGGTTGCTCCATCCTGCCATAGGAGTAACAACTGGTCAGACAGTTCTACTAGACTGATACTTAGACGGGCGGTCTTGCCAAGTCCAGAATTGGCAAGTCCCGAAGTCTGTCTTTCCACACTTTAGCTGCAGGCCCTGCTGCGATATCGATCATGGATAATGTCTTAAATCAATGTGTCAGCCTGTGGGGGATAACAAGGATGGATAAGGGGATTATAAACCATCTCAGTTGATGGGCCTGTGAACCGCCTGTTCCATGGTGAAGGAAAACACGTGAAAACGCCGAACCAAAAAAAACAACGACCCTCGTCCACAGTCGCCTGCCTGCTTCAAGGAGGAGAGATCCTGCGTGAAGGTCTCGGATCGTTTGCCCAGCGCTTCCAAGAGCTTCCCCCTCGGAGACGGCAGTGAGGCTGGGAGGGATTTAAAGCTGAAAAAAGGTCCAGGTCTAAATCAGTTCGTGTTGCTGGATGAAATACACCTACTAAGGTATGATTGTCTTATCTTGTCTGTGATCTATCTGTCTATAATTGTTGGTTGTTTGATCAGACAAAGCTCAAACATGGATATCCGATCCATACATGAAGACTGATAACGGCCTGTGGCAGGGGTTGAGTCAAAAACATCTTGCTGAATAACACCGAGTGATTTGGCTGCTACTTTCCTTTCTCAGGGGAGACAGTGGGGCCGTGAGCGTTGCAGATTAATGGCTAAGGCCATTCTGCTGAAGGAAGCACGGTCACCAACAAAGGCTTTGGACCCCATACAATTCAAACTGGCCAACTAAAAACCCTCCTTTAAATTGAAGGTGCCGACAAGGTAGGGTTTGAACTTGTGCGCAAACATCAAGTCAGTACTCTTACCATAGAAGGACACCTCCGTTCATCTTTCTCGCCTGTGCTGAATGATTGCTATCTTTTGCTCGTTCAGTGTTTAGTGGTGTGAGACCCGGGGGCAGTCACAGCCTGTAAACCATTGATTATTAAGATTATTAAACTTTAGTCGTGTCTTGCATCAAAATTCTTGAACACTCTCTGGGGTGCGGCTGTAGATAGCTGTCCAGTTGGAATCGGTCGCATAGATCCTGACGTCGGTCGAGATGCTGCTGACACAGTGACACACATGGCTCCACTTCGCGGGAAAGGGACCAAGTCGGAGAACTGGACGGCAAGGTTACATGGTTTTGCCATGTTTTGCATATGTGTTTGTTTGATGGGCATGGACCGTTTCACCCCGCAATCAGAACGCTTTCTCCGCATCCCTACGCGGCGGAGCGCTAGCTGAGCAAGCTGACAGCGCCCAGCGCCTTCCTTTTCACGACTGAAACAAGGTCTCCAAGATGGCTGGATCCGTGGGCAACGGCCGGTCACGCACCCAAACCTTGGATCCCAAAACTCTGTGGCCGTTGGGGACGTGGCACCGGAATGGGTTCCAGAAATACGGGTTCACTGCCGGTGGCCAAATGGGGATCAACCCCTGCAGAAATCGAACCCTCCCCCTTGAGTCCCGGACGCAAACCGAACGACGTGTCCGAAGGCGCGAACCGAGTGGTGTTTCCAGTGCAGCGAATGCTACGAACGGAGCGATCGGACGCTACAAACGGGGCTCTACTTTTTGAACAAATGACTTGCTTCCAGTGATGCCCACCCTGAGAAGTGATTGGGAAGAGGGAGACTATCCTGACACATGACCTATTATACTGCCTGACATGAATATATGAACTGACTGGCATATATTGTACTGACATATGTTGTGGATTGCACTGGCAAACTATCCTTCGCTCAGTACTCAAACATTTCTAGCTGCATATGTTCTGACATGTGTACGCACATCCAAAACCACATCACCTCCCATCTGCAGCATCATCCATACAGTAATGGGACAGACAGGATGTGTCTGCGGGATTGGTTGAAAAGCCTGCGTGCCAGGCCTTTCGTCGGGTTATTTGGTGATTGGTCGAAAATAACATTCGATCCTTCTCCCTCAAAAAGACGTTATATCAGTTAGGTCCAAATGCCATCACTGCCTCCCTATCCTCAGATATCTTTTGCCCAAAAACCCGTTGTCATCTGATTGCCTGTCAGGTCCACACTCTGTTGATGACAAAGACATCTCCAACACACGTTGTCTGGTGGAACACAATCTTCCGTGACCATTTTGGAATTGATGTTTGGGGAGCTGAAAAGAAGACCCAAAAAAATAGATAAACAATATTAACACATACATAAATATAGTATAATATAATGTTAATCAATTGCTCATAGAGTGTCCGGGAGGTAACAACCGCACAGACCAACCAACGGGCACCTCCCCACACCAGTGCCAACTTGCGGCATTCAGCGCAATCTTTTCGAGGCCCTCTTCTTCCAAGGGTTTGGCCTCGTGAATCCTTGAATCGGCTGCGATGTTTCACAAAAACGTGTTGGGATCAGCTGCCTCACCCGGTGGTGAAACCACTCTTGTGTCCTGTAGCCCGATCACTGAGTATCCGTATATGTTTGAAAAAATTTAGCTTTTTTGTACTTATATACTAAGAGGTATGTCATAGCAATCTATGTATCGAAATCAAGACAACGGTACAAAACATGTGGCTTTGTATGCGTTTAATCATTGTCAGTTAATTTGTTGGGTTGTTAAGTTGTGTATGTATATATATATATTGACCATTGTGTTGTGTATATATATATATATGTTTGTTTTTAGTGGTTGGTCTCGCCGCAAGGCCAAGGCTCATCTCTGGCAAGGGCTGGCCATTCATGTCCATGTTGGGCCACAAGAGCCTTGGCCATTGGTCGTCTTGGTTTGTCTTGGCTTGATTCGGTCTCCACTGGCCAAGCTTTTTCTTAGAACCAAGACTGATCCATGGAAGGTGCCCACAAGTAGCAAGAACACTAACAATTCTGGGGATACAGTTTGCTGCAACCTTGACAGTCAACCTCAGGTTTCAGGGTAAGAATTGGATGCTGAAAAAAACAATACACTTTCAGGCAAAACCCATGAAAAAGCAACGTTATAATTCATCTTTCCTCACAGTGGTTTCCTTTGACTCCTATCGCCCAACGGCGTGAGACAACTTCCGTGACCTCTCGGAAGAACGGTCCTCGCTACTAGGAGCAAAGGGCCTTACTAGGAGCAAGGACACAACTAACAAAGGGCATCGCTACTAGTGGCAAGGACGCTATGAACGGAGCTCCTGGCCTTACTACTAGTAAGAAAGGACGCTACGAACGGACAGAAGGGCCTTACTACTAGGAACATGGGCCGCTCTTCCGGCCGCTCGCGCTCTTCCGTCCCGGGCGCGCGGCACCCGTCTGGGGCGTCACGGACACGCCGAGGGCCGGGAAGTCGGTCTGCCCACGGCCTCACCGGGGGGCGGTCACCGGGGGTGTCCGGCCCTGTGGCGGTTCATATCGGTCTGAAAGGATGCTATCTTGGTTCATACCTGCGGTTCATAACTCGGTTCATAGATCTCTGGGTAGAAAGGTCCAAATCTGTTGAAACGATGCACGGAAACAGCAGGATGTTGTTTGCAAGCACGTGTCCCATAGATGCGATACATGAAGGATGTTGCATGGTGTATCCAAGAATTGTAACTCTCATCCCCCACAGTTCATCCGTGTAAGACGCCTTCCCTTCTTTTCCAGAACCTGCCGCCCTGTAAAGGCCCGGAGCAGTGGCCTTCTGGCAGGGTGGACAAAAAGACCAGCAGTGATGCCACCCGCTGCCCAAGCTCCAGCAACTGCTCGTCGGAGGGATCAGCAATCCAATCCACGTGCCTGGCGTGGCGATGGCTGCATCTTGGACAAATGGGCGAAACTTTTGAAAGGCATGTAATCTTGTGCTAGACTGATATATGTGAGGATATGATGCAAACTCATACAATATCCACATGTAACAATTCCTGGAACCGGAACCGGCTTCATCGATCAGTGTCCAAACATGCCAGGCTTCACGGTTCAAAGCACTGCTCTGGGCGGCCATAGCGCACTGCACGCAGAGGCTCTAAATGAGAGACCTGACACGGTCCACACGGCACTCCACACGGCATCCCGTGGGGCACCACCAAAGAGCGAGTGAGTTGGTAATCAGTTGGGATAAATGGGTCAAATAAACTTTAAACATTCTCTGTATTGTCTGGGGAACATGATGCCTGAAAAAAATGGGGCAGCCAAGTTTCATTCAGCCTCCAGCCCAGAATTTGTATCTTTCCTTTTGTAATGAATATGTGGTCACTTGATCTATCTTATACAAGTCTTTCCATTTTCCAAACTGAACCGAACACCAGAAATCTACGCCGTGGCCTCCACGCCTAGCGCCTCCGCCGCCCTGTACCGCAGCCGCTCCGCCGCCGCGGTCGGCGCGAAGCCGCCGCGGTCGCGGACGCCGAAGGCGTCGAGGCGCACGGCGGCTTGGAGCTCCGCCGCCTGCGTTTCGGTGGCGGTTGGAACTGGGTGGCTGAGCTTGGGGAATTCGGAATTCGATGGAATTGTTGATGGTTTCTGGATGTGTTTGGGGTAGGATTCTGAAATTACCCCAGCATAGACCCCAGATAGCAACTAGCTCAAACGGAAGCACATCTTTTCCTCTTAGCCCAGCGAGCCCGGTCTCGACAAGTGGGGAGACAAGGCAGCAGCAGCACAGCAGAGGCACAGCAGCCGCACACAGCAGCGGCAAACCAAAACGGAATACAGGCACCCACCCAGTGAGAAGTAAGAACCCCTATATGATAAGCTATCGCATGTGATTGCTATCTGGGGGAAAAAAGAAACAAAGAGAGGCGCCTTGGCTCTACAAGGTAAACGTACATGTGTGTGTAGCTCCAAAACACCACGAGACCGACCCGAATTCCGAATTCCGTTCCGATCCCCTTGGGCTCGGGTTTCAGAAAAATACGCGAGCCCAAACCCAGGGGTTCGGGGATACTGGGGGGTCACCCTTTTCAAGTACATGTCCGACACGGAGCCCCAAACTGGGTCGCCTCCTCAGCCGTCAGAAAGCTTGGATGGAGCCGGAGTGGCGGGCCTCAAGCATCCAGTTTTCCCTTTCGTGCGGATGCTGTCACGTAAAACAAAATGGACGGTGTTACCATTGATTTCGATGGAGTCTTCCACTGATGTATAAGACCGTATATATATATATATATAAGTGTTCAGCTGCTTGCTATCACAAACGGTCTTATATTAATTCATTGCAATTGTCTATATAGTCTTATTGGATCTTATTGGGGTTCCAACTGCAAGGCATTTGCCAAGAAAGGTCCTTCGTAGTGGGAGATTGGCTTCCACAAACAACCAATTCCAGTGCCTCCGGGTCCTACTCGTGTCCAACTGATGTGCTCCTCTACCACAATGTGGATCCAAATGTATCACTGGCAATCAAACAAGACCTACATCGGGAAGAATCTGCTCTTTTGAGGTCTTGAGGCACTTCTACTGACTTGTCAAGACTCGTCGTTTGCCTTCCACTACTTCGAGACGTCCCCGAGCAAGCTTGGAATAGTTGAAACTCAAGTGACAGCTACTGGATCCGAAAAAGCCATCCAAATTCAATCCGAATCGGACCAAATCCATTCGCTTCGAGGATGTTGGTGATCAGCATCGGCTTCCTCTCTCAGTTCAGGCGACGTGCTAAGCTTCGTCCGGATTCCTCTGGGGTCCTTGCGATCCACCAAAAGCCAGCCAGACGTGGCAAGGGGAGCACTTTCCAACGTGGACCACCTGCTTTCAGGCAGGCAGGCAGGCAGGCCTTTGGGTTCCAAAGGTGGGAGAACCCTGCCACAAAAGGTTCCCACTTGGTTAGAGATTCTATATTTAGTTTATATAGGTTTCGATTCAATTATATAGATGAGAATAATTGAGACACCTTCACTTTCTCTTGAAAAATTCTGCTCAATTGCTTGAAGCAGGTGTTGGTCGGCTTGCTAGGTAGAATTGGGATCGGGACCCTGTCCTTCATAGACTCATATATATATATATATGCACACAAGGCACAAAAGCAACAGAAATACCTGTATACAGCTGTATAGAATCAATGGACTCCCCCTCCTTTCCTTCAACTCTTCCCACCTTCGGACCCCCCCCTCTTCTCACCATGCGACACGCGCCGTGCCACTGAAGACCGGGCCGCCAGCGCCGGGTCAGACGGGAAGTCGGCCGTGAGCTGCACCCGCTGGCGCTCCGCGACGCTGCGACGCTGAATGCCCGCCTCAGCGCGAGGGTCGGGCGCGAGGGGCGGACGGGACGAAGAAGCAACATCAGAACCAAACGATCTACAGGTTCCATAGAGATGTGGTGTTTCTCTGAGAATTCACATGGTCTAATATGCATGAATTGTATTCAGATGTGAAACATGCTGTCGGCCTGAAGCCCTGGCTTACTGCAGTCGGCCTCGAATTTTCGATGTTCGAACCGGGGTTTTGTGTCGGACCGGACCTTTTGGAGGGTCTTTTGGCACTTGCAACTTAGCGTGCACCTCTTTGCCACGTTGTTTTGTTTCGCAAAGCTGCATGCAAAGCAATATCGCAGCCTTTGTGTTGGGGGTGTTCCCCAACTTAACAACCAATGTTTTGGCGCGACATGTATTTCTCATGGGTCCGACTATACTTGCTCATGGGCGTCTTGATATCATGGTAGAAACATGTAGAAACTGGATGTTTGCGTCTCTTGGATGTCTTGGACCAGTCTACTTGGACTTGCTGGCTCCAAGATGGGGACATGACACATAGGGACTGGGGAAGCGACTAGGATCAATCAGCCAATTGGTTGAGCAGTGGTTCGCCATGTTTAGCCGTTTGATGTCGAGGCCTTTGAACCAACCGCCGTGCCGATCTCTCGCAGCGAATCGTGCCAAAGGGTCCGCAGCGATCACTGATGGCTCGTCCAAGAACCTCAGTGCAGGGGAGAGGGGGGGGGAAGGCACAAACACCGTCAGCGAACGAAGGATACACAAAAAAAATATACGCAGTGCTTGGAGGTCACCGAATGACGACGGAGGTCTTGACCAAGTGCTTGACCAACCCATATGCCATAGGAATCGTGCTGCTTCCTCTTGTGTTGTCGATGTGACCTTCAAATCCCTTCGTTCGCTCTTGTTTGCAGGCCTGTGACGCCCCACCCCAACGGCACAGACGCCAGATCACCGCAGTGAGAAACTCTGTGAAACCGCAACGATGCAAAGGAGCTGCAGCCAGGTTATACAGGTACGTCACACGGTCACGGAGAACTTTGATTGCGAGCGTGTTGTGTTTCGAGTGGAGCGTAGTGGTTCGTTCGCTGTCGCGTCGTCCTTACAGTTTTCACTAAACAAATGCGTTCTGCTGGTAAAATGACATGGTGCCAGTCCTGTCATTTCTCGCAGGTCAGTGGATCGACGAACGCAAAACCACAGCTATACATCCGATCAACTTCAGTGGTCTGGTGGAGTGTGATGTGGATTGATGGTTGACAAATGATGGTTGATGTATATCAAAGGTTGGAGGCCATCGCTACTAGGTCATCGCTTTTAGGTTCATGGATGGATCTGTCAACGACCTGTACTGTGCGGTTTTCGTTCGATCATGTTCTTTCGCTTCGGAAGAATGGTGGCCTGGCCTGTCTTCTAAGGAGCTCCGTTCGTAGCGTCCTTGTTCCTAGTAGTAAGGCAAGGAGCCCCTAGTAGCGTCCGATCGCTCCTAGAAAGGGAGGACCGTGGCCATCTGAAACCAATTCTTTGGGAAAATATGTGAAAATAAACTCACTCCTGTCCTGTTTGATCCTCTGTGGGTGGGTTCTCAAACACATGAAACACACAAAAAACACATGGTGATCAAACGCGGTGGCTTCATTTTGCTTCATGTGTTTCAAAACGTACAACCCCACTCTTGCACGCCAGGAAAACCACGCACGCCCAGCCCAGCCCATCCGGACGCCATGGCACTTGGGTATTGACAGGAGTTCCTGCACTTCAGCACGCGCACAGCTCAGGGCGCTTGAGACATGTGGGCCAGGCAGCTCGGGGAACCTGCAGCGGAGGGACAGGAAGCAAACGGGAGAGCGAATGGGCCACGAAAACGTGTCCTGCCCGACCAACGGACTCAGGAAAAATCGATTCATCTAACTACAGTCACTGTGTCAACCTTCGCAAGTGAGAATTGATCATCTGGAGCCATGCCTGCCGCTCAAATCACACTTTAAACCTACTATCCTTCTGTATGCCCCAAGCTTTTGTTGAAATCAACCGACAGGGCCAGTAAGGGACGAGAGGGTGCCAGTTTCGGTTTCGCGCCAAATGCGAAAGCCCGCAGTTAGATGTTGGATGTTGTGCTCTTTGTGCTGTTTGAATGTTCTGGAGAGCATGTCAAATCCAAACCATTTAAAAGTTAGTCCCCCAAACAAGCGGTCACCAGCCATACTTGGACAGTTTCACTCTGCTTCACCGAAAGAAGCGGACGCCATTTAGTAGCAAGAAGCTTCTTGCATTACTACTAGGAAGAAAGGTTGGGCATCGCTTCTAGGAGCTACCATAAGACCCCAGAACCTTAAAAACTGACAGTTCTAAAAAATAAACGATGTTTCTTGAGGAAAAACGGTTTTCTTGATTTTGTGCATTTTGAGGGCATGCTGTCTGAAGTACATGGCCAGGCAAACGCACACATCATCCCCTTTTTATTCCTCTCAACTTTGCTATTCATATCTTGATGTGCCCACCTTCCTCCAAACATGGGAACTTGTCATTATGGACATCTTAGACATGGCACCAAGCAAAGCTACTTCAGAGTCCTGCGATCCTTTCTGATTTCTGAAGGAGCGATGCCAGGTTTCAGATGAACACATGTGCCGAAAGAAAGAACAACTGTGTGTTTGTGGTCTGAAAGCAGTCTACAAAAAGCATGTTTCTTTTTCTTTCACCCCTAGAAACTGAAGTGCTTCAAGATCAATCCGAATTGGCACGTTGCCGGCATCACATGGGAGTGATAAATTCTCCTCATGGACACCTTCAAATGGCATACTCCGGAACCCATATTTTTTTACGGGTTCCCTACGGGTTACGACGAGTTTTTTACGGGTTCCCCACGGGTTAGGAAAAACGTATTTTTTTTGAAAAAAACGGTTTCTTCAGTATGACCCACGGGTATAGACGGGTTCCCCACGCTTATAGACGGGTTCCCCACGGGAACCTGAAAATTTGCATGGTTGGGAGGGCTTCTTGTCATTAAAGTCCGTTCGACAACCTGCGCACAACACAAGATGTTTGGAGACCTATTTTTTCTGAGAGTGTCACTTTCAAGACATTGATACCCAAATCACACGCTGAAGGGCACAATCTGGGCTTTGTGTTCGCATGGGCACCAACCAACTGACTCAACATGGATTTGCTACCGTACCCCTCATTCTTTACAAGTGGTCCATACGCGGGCACTGCTCAAAAGGACATGTTCAACAAGAAGACTCAAGTTCAGGAGGGTTTGGGGGTGACACCGGCCCATGCTGGTGGTATAAAATAGTCCATGAGCCAAACAAGTCTGAGATCAAAAACGACATAAGCCATGCCATGGCAAGCCATTCTTCTTCACGAATCAGCTCCCATTTGGAGGTGTTTCCGGGAAAAACGAGTCTTTTCCAGGATAAACGATTTTTACTGCCAATGCCACTGGAGAAGCGATGTTTCGCTCCAGACATGACAAATAAGTAGTGTTTGGGGTCTATAGGTAGAGGACGCTACTATATATAGTTTGCCCTGCCGTTCTTCGCATCGTTCATTCCTTGCCTGCCGTGGCTGAGAGCGCTCGCCAGGGCAAAGAGCTTGCTGCAGGGCGGCGGCTGGCGGTTCTTGTTGAGCGCTGTGCCACCCGAGGCAGAGGACGGGAGGTAGATGTACAAGAAGGGCTCCTGACCGCCGCGCTAAGATGGTGCAAAGACGCGCGTTTTTCGGAATGAGAAAGAGGAAGCTAAGAATGTTTTGTTTCAAACAAGAACCCTTCTGTTCGATTAAATTTTTGCAAGATCCGCAGCCTAGGTTGGCATCCTTTGCATTTCCATGTGTGACCAATGGCATAATATGACTGATGACCAGTTTTGACAGGACCTGGAATTATTCACCTGATTCAACTTGATTCCAAGATCCATCACCATCACATTTCGATGCCAAGTACTTGGCACAAAAAAGAGGCCGGGATTCAGTCAAATTGGTCACCCCAATCAGCAACAAACCTCTCACACCAGATGGGTGCTACCATGCCAACGTAACATGTCTTTTTATCTCAAGACCTATATAATATATATAATATATATATATTATATATAAACACCTTGTGTTTCCAAGGAGGACAGCCTCATTTCGCGCTTCCCTTTGCCTGTCGAGAACAACCACCTGATCCACTTCACATGTTGCTATGCTTTTTCCACATGCACTCCTCAGCTCCACTCAAGGTCTTCACCTGCTCCCACCAAGGCTCCAGGGTGCCCTCGCCTTGTCCCGAAACCTGCAGAAGATCCGAGTCCTTCCTTCGTCCTGGCAGGTCCTTTGGAGTCCTTAAAGAAGCGCTGGATGGTATCCAGTGGATCCCACTTACTATCCAGTGGTAGGAACCAGGGTTTCTAGGTCCGGTCTATGGTTCTTGTCTTTGGAACCGCTGGTTACCAGCGACATCGTGCTTTGCCTGGATGCCCTGGGGTACGGTCATGGCCATGGCCATGGCCTTCTGTTGTGTATCTCCGGAAAAGAATGGCCATGACTTACCGATCCAGTGGATGATGTTCTTGGGTTGCTGACATCACTAGTGATCATCTTTGGACAAACCTGTGACAGGTGGACACAGCGATATGGATGATGCTCCCCAAAGCACACGGGGCTCGTGGGTGGGACAACAGTCGTGGAGGGGACCTGGCCCAAAGAAGCGGTCTTTGGTGGACGTGGTACGTCGGTACGACGACAGACCTTGGAACCGATGCGTTCTCGTCTTCTGTCCCGATCGGGGTTAAGTTATTGTCCCAAGGGGGGCTTTGAAGCATGACGTTGGGATATCCAAGAGCACCTCTTATGCAAACAGAATCTGAAATGAAAAAAGACGGACCATGACGTACCCATGTCTTGGGAACCCCCGGCCTGGAGGCGATAGTTGCAGAACTCGATTCCCTTTATTGTAAAAAACGATGGAAATGGTTCAACCAGACTCGTTCCTGTGTTGGGATCATCTACTCACACACGGTGCTTGCACGCAACACTGCCTGATGGAGGTGCGGCTTTCTCAAGGACCTAACGTACATGTCAAGGGCTTACGTACATGTCGATGTCAAGGGCTTGTTGTGCTCTCAGCGTGGCCTCACCTGCAGTGATCATCTTGTGGTGATAACTAGAAATATGATCATGTCCACCCAAACTTCCCTTGGAATGATCCCAAACGTGTTTGCAGGAGTAGTGGAACTCGGTCTCTATGGCTCAACGGAACCGTTCAGGTTGCGAGGCGTGAAACAGCCCGTTTTCAGGAATCATTCTGCACGACCATCCGCTAATCTGCAAATGGCAATACAACTTGAGCGCTTCTTTTTGTTGGCATGTGTTAGCAGCGAGCACCTTGTGTGTCTTTGAATACGAGCATGAGTATGTTCTGCCGGTTTCAACGATGCTTCAATCGCAAAACGCGTTAAAAACCCTTTCACCTGGAACGGGAAACGACGACGGAACGTCACTGGGAGTCACTGGAACGTCACGGGTGCTGGCCTCCCATGCCTCGCCGAAGCCGAAGTGGCCACCTCGCTCCAGTGAAGCACGGGATTCTGTGCTGAGAAACCGAGCTGATCGGGTCGATGTCTGTACGGTTTTCGGTGTTCGGTGCATTTGAACATGACACCAAGCCGCTCTCCCACCAGGTGCGAGTGAAGCAAAGAGTGTTCTCCTTAGGAAAGCCGGTCGGGAAACGAGCGAAGAGCACGGAATGGGTCATCTGAACATCATCTGAATCCAAAATTGCATGGTTTCGGCAAAACACCGGGATGTTCGGAAAAACAACCGAAAAACCGGCGAAAGGCCCAAGGCATTGACCGTCTTTCAAATGTTCCATCTTCAGACTCGACGTCCACATGAAGAAAAAACAACATAGGAATTGGCTGTTTGGGGAAACATCCATTTGTTTCTGGTTGTTTGAGCAACTATTCTACATCTTTTGTTCTTTCAAAGACTCTTTCCGCCCACACACATCTGTCGGGGCGCGCGCGGGAGAGATGAACCCACGAATACTCACGAGCTCGAATGGCTCATTCAACGACAGTGTTCGGATGAAGTCGACCGACACTTAAATTAGATGCAACTCTATAGCGTTCTTTTTAGATGCCGGGGCTGTTGCTAGTTTGGACAGATGAGAGGCACTGGGTTCAGGAGACCCTGGGGACGTCAACGGCCTCCAACCTACTTGCGATGGCCTCCAACCACCCTGCAACCCACCTTGGCGCGACCGTTCGGACCCTTCTTGTTTCCGGGTTTGTCATGCACCACTTCTTGGATATTCACTTAAATAAACGACTCAATCTGGTGACCATCACTTTGCCTGAAGTTGTCTCCACCAAGGCTACGAAAGGCGAGCCCAAAGAGCGAGCCCTGCCTTCTGGGGTGAGTCGGCGCTTCCAGGCTTGAACATCTCTTCCATCAGGAATCACATGAAATCACTACCCCAAACAGGATGCGTTGCTTGGGATACCGTACACTTTTTTTCGTCCAGGTCCAGCCCTGCATGGGACGGAACATCCCCAAGTCCAGCTTCGCGGCAAAGACGATGGGCGGCAGCCCCAAGGGGCGCACGGTCAACTCCTCAAGGCGCACGGTGGGCGACGAGGGCCGTCCGTTGTTCGGATCCTCGACGTCCAAAACCAACTGGGTTCTTTCGTGGATGGGAAACGGGTCTGCCATCCCGCAGACTGATCCTGCCTGGCTTTGGGATCCTTTGGCCATGTTTCATCCCCCATACTGTACTTCTGTGGCGCAGCATGATGTTTGCAGCACGGGCTGGGCGCAGCCGGCGTCCACAGGAAATCCGCAACACTTTGCACCTGTTTCAACTGTTGTTCCGCCCCCTGTGGACATCCAAGAAACGGAGGCTGCCGGACGCCCCTCCCATCCGCACCTGGTCTGGCACCGAGTAGAAAGAGGCGACCTCGATCCCCGAGCAGTTCACATCTGCTCCTGGGCCGCAGAAGGGTACCCACAGTGTATATAAAGATCTATGATCTATATATGAAAAGTTATGAACATATTATAAGCATACCCTATAGAACTCCTGGTAAATCAATGCCGAAGACCTTTTGCGGCAAGCCTTATAAAGTAGAAATCACCGGGAAGTGTTTGCCCTCAAGGAGTCTGGCGGAGGGGGGGACTCCACATCGGTCTTCCAAAATGGTCTATGACCAAAAGACCAAACGAACCCATCACATGGTTTTACAAAACAAATGGGATCGCCCACTACATATGCACATACAAAAGGGATTTGTTGTGGCACTCACATGGTTTCCTGGAGTCCAGGGAAGTCGTCGAAGGTCCCCATGCCATCCACATTTCTCGTGGATTGAGAGTAGATAGCACAGTCCCCTATCTGTAGGTGGTAATATATGGACCCCTATCTGTCTAAGTCATCTGTCGGGGGCACAAGCCATCTACCCATGCCATCCACTGCACCGTGTTCTGACCATGTGAGGTGTTCGTCAGAGTGTATGAAGAGTCCGGTTGGCTTCTGGGCTTCTGCACTTCCGGTGAAGGCGATCAATGGATTCACCGCGGTCTCGGACCTTCAAGTGTGTAGTTGGAAGTGCCAAAACACATGCATTTCACTTGAAACATCTTAGAAACAATTGAGCAACTCATCGTTTTTTCTAGGCCGGATACTTCTGCCATCTGCCTGAAATGATGCGAATGCCGCACCAGGTATCACCACCTGTCTGAAAATCGCACAACCAGAATTTGCAGCAAGAAAGATGGTATTGTCCCTGTTCTATCTTACCCTTCAAGAACAATGGAACCATATCGCACTCGAGTCCCAGACACAGCGGAGCGAACGTTGACATCCCGACCTCGAAGATGTTCCACCTGCTTTCGGATGCGGTCCATTGTGAAGACCTTAAGACAGAACTTCAAAGGGCTGGGACACAAATTGAGGCCATCGCTCTTAGGTTGGAGGCCATCGAGACGGGTCTTCAAAGAATATGTGCTCCATGTTGCCCTCTAATTGGGTTTTAGTTTGAAGTGTCAAGATTGCACAGCAAGACACTTGCATACGCACTTCAACGGTTCCATTGTGTTGTTCTTTTTTGCGTACAATTGGGCAAAATGATATATTACCTGCAAGTGTTGATGTGAATCATTGATTCATCACAGCAGGGAAAATGGACATGTGCTGCTGCATACCATGTTTAGATTTCTTTCGATCACCATGTATTTCCAGTGGCCTCTTAGTGAGATTTGATGTTATCACCAGTATCGTGCCACATTACCTCCATTTCCGACGCACCCTGACTTTTACTGTGAGAAGTAGGTTCTAAATATATACATTCTTGGCTAAAGATAGCATTGTATGACTATATTTAACATGTTCTCCACCAAAGACTTCTTTCACTACAAACATACAATGCATATTACAGCAGATCAACTCGCTAGTGCAACATGGACCTTTATATGCCCTTTCCATCTCCTGTTTGCTGAACATGACAGAACCATCCAGGTTACATATGTGTTGATAAGCTCTACGTGACAAATTGACAACGTGACAAAACACAAGTCAAACGATTGCTGTTTGATGGCGCAAACGGATGTGTTCAAACAAGTCTAACGGGTCAAACGGTTTGGGACACATCGTTTTAAATCAGGTCCATCCACACAATGTAACATGAACAAAAAACTGTACATCGACAATCACAGACAAGTTGATTTAGGCGGTTCAATCCAAAGCCGAACACGTAACACGGCGTTTTCTGGTTTGCAATGTCATGTAGAAAGCAATTATATAAATAGGTCCACACCATGCAGTTCAAAATGTCCGAAATATCCCGGAAGAACTCGGCGGGTATGTGATATATATATATATGAATTCACACGATGTTGCTCCGTTACCAGGCCGACGGCTGCCTCTCCACCTTGCTTCTTGAAAGGGTATGGTTGGCTTGGAGACTCTGCTGCAACCAGGACGCGACTTCTTCCAACACTTCATGTGGTCCTTGAGAAGAGCGTCCCACCCATTGCACGACCCACCCAGCAGTCAAATTCAAAGCCCATATAAGGATCCACCCAATGGAGGTCGAGAGGCATCGTCATCGTCCCAAATGCAAATCACCTGAGGCTGCGTCCGAGCTGTCCAATCCGCTTCAGCATGGCAGCGGGGCCTGTTGAATGACATAGCGTTACACCCCCTAGAGGCGGTGTCCCAAGACCGGACTAAGTCCGCAACATGTACTTGTGCGGGAAAGGTCTTCACCAAATACATATATACCTGCAGCTTGCAACAAAGCAACTCACTCTGCCTTAGGGGGTGGTGGGGCTGTGGTTTCAAACATCGTGCTACTTCCAACACTTGGAAGACCTAAGTGACCGTGAGAAGGTGGTACGCGTGAGAAAATGCTCCGTCTTTGCTGCACTTTGGCTTTGAGCTCCAGCTTTGGAGCACCGAGAACGCTCCAGGTCTTCGCTCTCTCCACCCTCCACGGGACACCTCTGCATCTGTGCTGCGTGTGGCCAGATTCCGCTTGGCACCAATGCCTCGACTGGGCGGATGGACCGAACTGGGAGGTTGAAGAAGGGAGAGGAACAAGACACCTCCCAAAGAGACCAACCAACATCCAATGGTGCAAATTGAAGTGTGGAGCTGGTGAAGCCCAAATTGGAGAGGAAAAGGAATCAACAAAGAAGGGGAAGAATCACGATGTGGTAGATCTGCCTGGGAGGACACTTGGGCTGACCTTGTGGGGAAAGGGAAGTTCATGCGGAGAGTAGTAGACTGCAGGAACCAGGTTAGTAACATGGCAAACTGCACAAACTTGTTAGTTCCACCCTCCTTCGACTCTGCCCCTGTGACAAAACCTCTCAAACAGGAAGGCCCTCAGAAGGAACATATTGCAAAATCTTGCATATATGGTTTGGTATTGATGCAGCGGAATTGCTCCTTCTTCCTATCTTCCACTAGCCATTTCTCAACTTCTCTTGGCTTCTTCCTTTCTCATCCCCTCCTTGCCTCGGTCCTTGGTCCTTTCTACGTCCACAACAACGCAGAACGTTTGCACTGTCCAAAGCCCAACAAAAACTCGGTGGTCCTTCTCAACTCTGCGTCAGTGGCCCAAACCAGTAATATAATTACTCAGTTTCTCCACAACAACTCGACTTCCTCAACCCGATGGTCGTGTCTCCGGTTGTCCGGAACGGGTTGTCTTCGACTTGAAGGCCTATCCAAAGCGGTTGTCTTGAAGATAAGGTGCAAACTTGGTGTCTTTGTTCGAGGCTGGTGAAAATGTGCGATTATACTGTTGGAACCCAACTTCGTGCAGTATTGGCAGTATTGGTGACAAACCAATTGGTCCACGACACAAATGGTACTACAATGCAAGATTGACAAGGAGGAAAGAAGAAGACGCGAAGAAAGGAAGAGTGAAAAGAACTGTTCAAACAAGAACGAACCGAAAAAAAGGTTGAAAGCAACTCGGATGGCTACAGAACGTGAAGACGTCGTTTGGAGACCGATGGGGACCGATGTTGTCTGTCCCTCCACCACGGGGCCAAGTGACTCATTCGTTCTGGCAAGAAGATGTATCTGATCGCCAAGGATTCCTTCCTGACAACACTGTGGGGGTATGGGCCAGGTATAGATATGGTCCTTCCCACACAGATGGGTTGTTCAGATTGATGACCACTGTTACTCTACACTGGCTATGTTTTCTCGGGCCAAGTGGATTAGTAATATTGAATTAAAAACAGTTGGAATATGGCATGGGGTTGGTTGAATCTAGGAAACATGCTCACCCGGCAAATGTTCTGTCAAAAGAGCAGGGTTGGGCATTGTGCCCAATCGAACGAAATCGCTGCGCATCTCTGCATGGCTCAAGTGGAGTCCTTGCACTCTCACGGGAGAATTTCGCAGGGAGCACATTCCAGGATTTTGGTCTGCTAATTGACCTAGGTCCTAGGAGCAAAGACGCTGCTAGGGGCTCCTGGCATCGCTGCCGGGAGCAAGGACGCTACTGGGGGCTCCTGGCATCGCTACTAGGAGCAGGGACGCTACTAGGAACACAGGGCATCTGCTAATTGACCTACTTTTGTCCTTGTTTGTCACTCGACGGAGGCCACCATTTTTGCAACCAAACAGTCTACTTGGTCCCTGAGTTTAGGACAGCATCCACCGGAGAGCCTTGAGTTTAGGTCCAGGCTTTTGGAGTCCAAGGAGCAAGGCGTCCAGCTGTTCTTCTTGGCTCTCCGGGCTGTCATCTACGATGACCACCTGAGTCACGAGAACGGGGATGACCATGTGTTAGACCACACAGCACCACAAAAAAGATGTAAGATGAAACAAACATTCCCTCAAAATAGCATGGCTACGACGTGGATGGCAGGGTCCCTTGGATGACCATGAAGTCCAAATACTCAACAGGTTTTTTTGCACTGTAAGTGCGTTTGGAATCAAGAGAATAAGCTAGGAAGTCCGGTTCGCTCCGGTCGACCTTGACTAAGTAGATTGTTTTGGAACGAAACAGGGGGCAAACTAACTCGCCACGCGATTCCAAGATGCCTTAACAATGGACCCAGTCTGACAGACTCAAGTATCGAATGCAAGCAGGCCACCTCAAGATCTCCTGGATACTCTTGCTGCTCCACTTGAGCCAGCGCCTCCAGCAGCAGAGGCCCTCTCTTGTAAGTGACCATCTGGACCTGAGTCCCAACATTGAGCTGGGAAAACCATGTGGTTCAACCCGGTTCAGCTGTAAAACCAGGAGCACAGGCTCAGTCTCGGAGAGACCAAGCCTCCACTTTTTCAAGTGGAGAACCGGATGTTCTTTCCGTGTGGCTCACATTTGAAAAGGATTGAAAAAGGGTTCAGCGTGGCCCTATTGAGATCTGTGCTGAGTGTTTCGAACATGCCACACAGTCAGCAGTGGTTGTAGGACATTCTTCTTTTGTGTACCCAAAAATGGCTACGCGACCACACAGAGGTGATACACATCGAAATCCATGATATTAAAAATTAGAAACTAGAAGCTAAAAGAGGACTTCGATACACAAGTCAAATATAGTCCAAAACTTCGATCATCTTCGATACACAGGTCTGCAGCCTGGAGTGGGACGAGTGGAAAAGTCAAAGCCACAGAGGTCGTGCAGCCAATAGGTGTCCTTCATTACTCTATGCCTACATATTGCTTGAACCGGTCGTATGCTTTTACAAAGAATGCAGCTGCTTCTTGAAGGTTTTGGCCCCGTTTTGATCCTTGGCATGAGTAACCGACAAAATCTCAGACCAGGTATGGGAAGGCAGACGTGTTTTTCATGATGGCAGCAATGAAAAGCCTTGATGAGTCTAGGAGACTCCGTTCCAGTACAACACAACATGTATCTTTCCGGGCTCTTCCATGACAGCTGTGGACTTGTGGATGGTGGGCAAATCGACCAAGGCCTCGGCAAATGCCAAGCAGCACTTACAGATGGCCATGTTGAAAACCCCACAGCGCCAGCAGCTAGGAGCAGAGCGCGAAGGAAAAACATGGCTTGCACAGCGCAATTGAAGTTGCAATCGTCCTAATCTGTTCCTTTGCTTCCGATGACCAACAGGTTAGAAACTTGGCTTCCTGATGCAGATGGGCATCAGATGGACATTCTGGCAGGTGGGGTAGAGTATGTTGTTCTTATCGAAGGTCTACATGGTGGGTAGGAGATTCGCCCACCGCTGCATCTTCCCACGCAGGACCCACGCTGCTTATTCACGCACAGGTACCAGTACCAGGTTAGCTGGCCTGGTGTTCCAATGTCCGTTTCTTGATTGTCTTTAATTGCTTGGTCGAGGCAAGCAAAGCTGCAAGCGGCTGCATGCATCATCAAAGGTTTGTGGCACAAGCAAGATCCATCCCTACAGAGATCCAAACTGCTGGCATCTGCTGGCAGGCGACACTGCAACCTGGCCGATGATGACCAACCTTGCTGGGAAGCGTGAACCGTACAATCCAGTTTGCGTAAACCAAACACGCATCCTTAAAGAACGCCGAACAACATGCCTTTGTCAAGTTTGTTTTGGGTCAGTCTTGTTGAACTACAGTGCAGTCTATAGTTTTTCACACTCAAAGATGGAGTCACAGTTAACGAATAGTAATCATGCCTCACCATCGACATGGAATCAGCTGTCCCGATCTTGCAGATAAAAAACAAAATATTTTAGACTTCGGGTGATCCCCATCATGACATTTCAATCAAACAAAGTTTCTGGCATGTATTGAAACATTGTTTCGGCATGTTTTCTGACACATCTCCTGACATTCTTTCTGGCATATCTTCTGGCACGCTTTCTGGCATATCTTCTGACATTTTTCTTGCATATCTCCTGACATTCTTTCTGGCAGATTCTGGCATAGCTTCTGCATATGTTCTGACATTCTTTCTGGCGTTCTATCTGGCATATCTTCTGACTCGCGGTTGAGGTCCAGCGGGGAAAACTGCCAGCCGAAGCTCGCGGTTGAGGTCCGGCGGGAACACTACGAGCCGAGGCTCGCGGTTGAGGATGACGCAGACGAGAAGGAGGAGGAGGAGGACGAGGTCAGACAGCTGACATAAAATCTAACAAACCTCACCTGACAGGTGGGGAACAACTCTCCCAGCATGTCCACTTCTTCGAACCTCGCTATATACTTCGCATCAACCACAACACCACAAACGGCTTGGGATGCTTTTGATGTTCCCAAACAGTCCGTTTACGCTGCTTGACGCTGTTCCGTCTAAGACTCTTTATGCGTGGTCTCAAACTCTTGGAACCTCCCCGTGGCTTCCAACCACCAAGCTGGTCTCATTGGTCATCTGATTGAACTTCGGACGATCATGAGTCGCTTCCCAGCCTCCCTCCGCAGCAAACCCCATGATGAAATGGCCAATGGCCACATCCACGCTGCAGCCCACGTTCCACCCCCCCCAAAACACGTCCTCAATGTCCTTCTCTTGCCAATCGGCCAAAGAGGAGCGACCTCGTTCTACGCACGTGGAACCCAGCTTTCGTACAGAAATCATCAAGCGGTCATGAGTGGTGTTAGAAGAACCATATACTTTGCCGATACCCATTTTGGATGTCAAACAAGGGATAGTCAGGCAAATGTGGTGACCAAACGAGAACTTGTCCTCAGGTCGACTTTATGAATGTGAGTGCACGTAGCCGCTCAGTGCTCGATTTTGCGAGAAATCCCTCAATGAGGCCGCACGAAAGCACAACACCAAGTCAAGCGAAGGAAATGGTCCACCGAAGAATTGGCAATCTCGACAGGTCCATTTTTTCTAGCTTTGAATCTTGAGATATGCAATATTATGCAATACATTAGAACTAATACGTTGAATCTATTAGGCAGAAGAAAGTCGGAGACCTTAGGTCGACCCCCAGGTCGACCCCGGTCTCCCGCCTCGGCCGCTGCGCCCACCGCCTGGAGGATCGAGAGCATCAAAAAATTGATGAACGACCCGTAGATCATCACGATATATATATATAATACTATATATATATACATGCATGTACTTTTATATCCATATAAAAACTATAATATGTTTATGAATTGTTTATCCATACACCTCCCAAACTCCCTGGGATGTGGATCCTATGGGGCCACCTTCTGAAGCGTCATGTTCCGATGGAGTTCAATGGTCACATGCAGTTTTGGAACATCCGATGCTTAACACCTCCTTGTTGAAAAACAGGCACACCTCGAGGTGTGCCCTTGAACTCCGCCGATCGATAGATACTTCACGACCGCTCCATTACGGGGACCTGCCAGATCCCATGCGCGCGTGTTTTCTTTTTCCCAGCCGTGCCCCGCACTGACAAGCATGCAGGGCGTGGCATACTTGACCACCAACTAGAAAGTCCAGTCATGACTGCATCGTCAATTCGTGCATCTTCAGCAGCGGTTTCCGCATATCGCAACCTCTGTGTAAAAAACGCGTCATGCACCCAGCTCTGTCTCCCGCAACCAACTCGTGTTTCCCTCGAACTCGAAGTGCACCATTTGGCTGGATCTGACGCATAGGATCGTTGTGGCTAGCACTACGTTAATATGACACAATAGTTGTTGTTTTCTACGGAAATAGGATTGGCTGAACAAGTCGAAAGTGCGCCTGTCACCTCGATTGGGTATGCAATGCAAGCTCTGTAAATCTACTCAGAAGTGCTCTGTTTGTATTCCTTCTGTTTATATGAATGCTGACTGAACCTTGACAATTCTCCTCAAGCACCGTAGTTGGAAGGCATCAACTTTCTTTAGCATGGTTTTCGTGAGGTGTATGGTTTCAAACCCATACACATATATAACTATATATGATCATATAACAACGTTGATCGAATGACGGCAAACATAAGCAGTTGCCATTTCATGTTCACGTGCGTTGCCTTCCAACAAATACTACAGCAGCAATTTGAATCAGGTTTGTCTTACTTCATGCATTTGGTTGAAAGGGTCATGTCTGATGTTTGTTTCCTTGTTGACTTCGATTTTCTTTGGACCTGGCTCATTATCTTCATAATGGACCAAACCACACACTGACTAATCTTTGTTTAGCCGCAGTCCGTATTTGCTGGAGATAGTTTCAGTGTGTGTGTGTGTGTGTCAACAAAATTGATATAAGAATTGGGCCCTGTGGTTTCTTTTTTTGATGTCTTTAATGCTGCGTTCAATTCCTCAACTGTGAGTACGCTTTCATTTGCCCCGCTATTCAAAGAGATTGCCACAGCGTCCATCATTCCAGCGGTAATATGCGTTAATGTTGTTGTTACAGTGTTTTGACAATCGGCAATGGTCTGCTCCCTCTCTATTTTAGGGACATGCTTTCCATGTTCGCTTTTCATCTGTACATACCGCGGTGTAAATTACTTCTAAAAACCTTTCACTGCCGTCCACAACCCTTTCGTGTGGATACTGCGGTTTCCATTAAACTGCTCGATCAAATGGTTGTGAAATGTTGTGAAGCTCTTTACGTGCCACGTCGTAGCAGTAGCAGCCCTCTAACGTTTAAAGTGGCAGCTCTGATCTGCTGATTAGTTCTGAGATGGAAACGTTGAAGCTTCTTATAGTTTGGCATATCCCCTTTCGTCCAGAAAAACAGGTTTTGCATTCTCGCTTGTGGTAAACGAGTTTCTGTTGAAACCATTCTTTGCTTTTCTGCCTGACTTGCTGCTAAATGGTTTTCATCGCCTCTCTCTCTCTTTGAAAAGCCACATCCGGTTGCAAGAAGGCTTTAGCCACCCGTCTGGCTCGGTTCTACGCGCGCACGCAGCGGCACGCATAAGAGGTTCACATGTGGGCCCTTCCCCGGTTCCTCTTATGGTTGCGACTCCGAGTGCGTCCCTCGGAGTCTGAGAATGTGAAAACTGTGACTGGTGAGAGTGCGATCTTCTTTGCTGCAGTGCAATATCCATCTTCTTTGTTTCGTGTCTTGTACAAAAGTGCTTTGTACAGAAGCCAGTCTGTGATTCTGACCTGGTCAGAGCCGTCCACATGATGCGAGCAGGATTGGATCATCGGCACTGTCTGCTCGCTTTCTGCTCTGGGACAAGTTCGTGAGTGAAATCTTGCACCCTAAGGTCATCTATTTCATCGTGCCCGCAGCGCTTGGCCACATCTGTAACATTGCCCATCAAGTTGGTCCATCAATTGTTTGGAATGACATTGCTTCCTGCTGACTGCGAACTTGATCAGAAGAGCTGGCTCCTGTTGACTCAAGTTGCTCAAGATCTTGCTTCATTTGCTTCATCTGCTGCAGTTCACACGCTTCTTGTTCAATGTTGTGTTTTGATTGTCGTTCTGCTGGTCTATGTTGTGCATCTGGTCCTTTTGCTGCTCGGTGTGGTGCACCAACGCACTCGAAGTAAATTAGCTTCTTGTCCCCCGAATTATCCTTGTGGTGATAGCCTTTTTCTCTACAAAATCCTTCTATTTGTCTCGTTCGCATTGTTGAAGGATATGGTGTTTCTTTGTGGTGTCTGTGACTCTGCTTCTTCTTTTTTCCCCTCCTGTTTATCTCTTCCCTTTTCTTTCGAAAGAGGCTTTCTTACTGCCATGGCTTAATGACGGACACCTGTATGACTTAGTCCAGCTTCCCTCGAGCCCAAACCCCTTGTCCGCATCTTTCCAACTCTTGGGCTACGGGTTCACTGACCACACGTTCGCTCGCGCGGGCGCGCGCGTCCTCCACGGTCATGGCCCTTGGAGTCCTTGTGGCGAAGAAGCGTCCGCAGGGTCCGCGGCGGACCCCCCCAAACAAGTTTATTTTACGGCCTTTTTTAGCTTCATGAAGTTTAATGGAAGAAAGCGTCACGGCGTTGGTTCCCAAAAGGAAAACAAACACCTGGTTATATACTTGTTCTGCAGTTTCAGACCTGGGAAGCCACAACTTGTTTCATTGATCCAGCATGACCTACACCCAAAGCTGAGGCAGTCAGAAAGAAAGTGGGCCATTCAGAAAAGCCCCGAAACGGATAAAGCTTGACAACAATGAAAGGGTATCTGATGTGGTACATGTACCTGCAGTATCATCCAACACAATCATCTTCAAACT